TTTCTTTACACTATATAAACCATTATTATATATTCCTTTAGTTCTTTATAACATAATGGTTAGTTTTTCTATATAAGGAACAATCATATCAGAAAAAATAGGACATCCATTTGTAACCCAAAGTAAACAGTCAAATAGAATACAACAGCTGAGAGCTGACATCTTTGTGTAAAGGAGAAGTCAATGATAGCCATATATAATACACTCAAGTCTTTCAACAGCTCTGGAATGAGGAATTCTGGTCAAATATTCTACTTAATAGAATTGCGATATATTTTACATGGTTTTCCTGTTTTCAAAGAGTTGCAATAGATCAAAATATACCGAGGGCTATGTAGCTAGGGTGGTCCCAGCTGAGCTCAAAGGGAATTATCTGGGTGTATGTGATTAACTAGAAGGAGTGGGTAGGCCCTTAGGGCTCTATTTGCATGACAGGATTTATGCTGGCATTTTATTTATTCTTGGCTTCTAGGAAAGGGAAGATATAAGCTGTGATGACTGAACAAAAGAGGAAGGAGGGCAGTGAGGGGTTTATGGTATTAGTCTTTCAGGAAGCTAGGACTTAAAACATTTTTTAGAGCTTCTAAGGAGAAGGAGGTCAGGAGAGAAGGGAAAGAAAGAGTTTTTATGAAGTGTCCTATGAATCATGACTTCTTAAGCACTCAAGAACTTGTGGCAAAAATTGGCACAGCAGGACACTGTACTTTGGGCCTGTCGTCCATATTTCCGTGGAAGGTGACTCAAAATAGCTTTATGGAAAAAAAGATCTTGTCCAGTGAGAACTAGAGCAATATATGGCAAATTGTCTTGTCCAATTCCTAGCTGACTTGTGAGCAAATGTCAAAGGGTAACCATAGATAACATGTTATCAGCATGCATGCAAGTATGTGGTAACTCCAGATGTGCCCGTGGGAATACAAACTGTAGGAGTTTGAGTTCAGTTTGACGAGCGGTGGGGAGAAGAGATTATTAGGAATGTTTGGATTATTGTTACTAAGGCAACCTGCCTCTTAAGTGACAAGACTTGGAGACCTTTAGCTTACAAAGAAAACTAAATTATTCAAGACACACACCAAAGATTTTACAGTTTCTCAAGGTCATCTTCACAATATCAATTAGCAGTTTATTGGCAAAGCAAAGAGAAATAAACTTATGAGGCATCTACTAGAGACTTGGGAGTGATAAGATTTTATACAACAGTTTTATTACTGATTAAGACTTTACTTGGTTAAACAAAGTGCTTCATTTTTAAGTCCATTATTTTTTGCCTTTTCTTTTTGAAGGGGTACAGCACTAATCATTCATTTAAATTTGAAGAGCTTAGGAGATGAAGGTTTTAAAATGTGTCAAATAACTTAGTCCTCTTAGATCAGGAATTATATACACAATCTTTTTTTTTTGTAAAAACTCACCCTTGCCTCTTTAAATTCAAACTGCCTTTAATGAAGAATGAAAATTTTCTGTATATTACCAATTTAGTCCTGAGTCTAACAAAATGAAGATGCTCATTTTTGTTTACCAGTTACAGTTTAGACTCAAGGAAGATCAAAGTACTCTCAAGGGGATGATGGCATAAGGCAAATGAGGACTTCTTAAAATTAAATGTTTCTATGACTTGAGAAATGCCTCAGTATTTAAGTGAACTTGCTGCTTTTCTAGAGAACCCAGACTGAATCTCCAGAACCTTCATGGTGGCTCACAACCCTCTATAACTCCAGTTCTAGGCTTCTGAAAGCACCAGGTATAAAAGCAATGTACAGACATACATTCAGGCAGAACACTCATGCACATAAAATATGAGGTTTTTTTTTAAAAAAGTTAAAGAGTATATCTATGTATTAAAATTTGAAGTATACCCATAAGTGAACATGGTTACACAAATATCCCTAACAGAATATTTTTTCATGTTGAGTTTTCTCCAAGAATTAATGCAGTTTCCTATAACATTTCATATATTTTGAACAGCAGTTTTTCTGTTTTTTTTTTGTGTGTGTGTGTGTGTTTGTACTGCTTTACAAAATTAAAGGAGAAGCCTGGCACTGTGGTCTATGCATGTAAACATAGCACTAAAAGGATGGAGGCAGGAGGACCAACTAATATAAGGCTATCCTGAGTACATGAAAACATGTCTCAAAACAAAAGTTAAGAGTTTAAAGAAATCATTTTTTAACACAGAATATTATTTCTTAAAATGACATACTAATGCCTGGGTTGTTATAATTCCCTATAGGACCAAGTAAATATTTTAACAATTACATGTTAGCGTGTCAGACTTTCTTTACTACTGAATCTGGATTACCAAAGTTTCTCTCTGTTCTGCCAAACTCTAGCATCTCTTAGGAACACATTGTTGTCTTTTTCTGATTCTACCTTCAAGATTTGACTTTTCCTAATGTAGAAAGAATCACAGAGATGGTTGTGGGTCAAAACTAAAATAGTGTCTATAAGGTAAGACAAATAATTGACTGAGTCAAGAAAACATTTCAGAAGTACAAGATGCCATTTATTTTCCTAACACTTCACCATTTTAATGCTTATGTAAAAGCTATTCCCAAGTTTATTTATCAAATAAACTATTGCACATATTTATTTTGTTGAGGGAAAAATCTGTTGGAATAGTTAATAGTTATGAAAACATCTTTTTACAAAGTTTTATTCCTATATTTCTAGTATATGAGGTATAGAATGAAGACACACACAACAAATATTTATTGAGTGCCTGGGTAACATATTGTTTATTAAAAAACACACTCAGAAGCAGCAGGAATCTGACAGATTTAAAAGAGAAAAGAAGTATTTTCTATAATTTATTTGGAGCTATGAATGTTATTGAAGTAAAATACTTGCCTCAAACACTTCTCCAAAAGCTGAAATTAATTTTTATATGGTATGGTGGTGAAACATATAAGGCTCACTGGTTCTGAATATTCTATTCAAAATATCTCAAAAGAAAAGAGTATTTGTGCAGTCAACTATTTGAACTAGTAGAGTGATTGAAGCAAAAAGGAGAATAGGCAAAAAGATGTTTATTTAGACAGTACATAAATATGGAATTGAGTTTCTTCCATAAAATATTCAACTTGAATTTAGGGGTTATTAAGTAATGTTGCCTCTATGCCATTTTAAAAACTGATGAAATCTCAGGTAAAAGAACTAATAAGGCAATCTACATTATTAATATGGAGCTGTATCTATTTATATATATATCTATATATATATCATAAACATATAAATCTATGTCTTGAATAGCTTCAATATACTCACTAGCTGAGTGATAGATAATATACATGATATTAATAATGAATAGATCAGTATCCCCTAGATATTTCCTAATTTCTTTTTCCATCATTGGAAGGTGATAATTTTGAAAAAGGACTTAATCTATAATGTCAGCTTTTTTTCTTTATTTCTGTATTCTCTCTCTCAGAAGATGGCTGAGGAAGCTTTTTTTGGCATGTGCATTTTGTTTATGCTACACATGCCAAATAGATGTCCCAAGATGAAACTCTGAGCTCATTTGGAAGTCATTTTTGGTAGCACATGAATCAGAACTCTTATTTTCTTCTCAGCACTACTGGTATTTTATTGCTTCCATCTATAGTCCAATATGCTTTTAGTGCTAAGAACCCTGAGGCCAAACACACAAAGCACTAAGAAAATGGGAACTTCTAGCGATTCCAATTTTTGTCTCTCTTTCGGGGTTCTTCTCTCCCCTGAGAGAGTGAAATCACTTTAAGCTCACCATGAAACAGGAACATGGTGAGCATCAGTGATTGACTGAAGCTGGAGATGTTGATTTAGGAGTCTTTGACTTATAGGTCAGGTGTAAAACCCTTAAACATGTTTATCAAAGTCTGCTTGTCAAACTCCTATGGATTTTTTTCCAGATTCTGTCCAAATGTCAAGGTCCTTATGAAGACTTCTCTGGTCACCACAGGCAGAATTAATTTCTTCCTACCATGTATTATTACTATATGCTAGCATATTACTATATGTCAACACACATTAAATTCTAATGAATGTACTGCCTCTACTCATAGAATATAGACAAACTGTTTCTTCCCTTTATGTCTGGCTCAGCACATCAAATCAAGCTGATTCTCAATAAGTAATTAAAAGTATGGTCAGAGAATAAATAATAATACCCTTCATTTGCACATCATAGGTTACAGGAAATCAATGCTCAGAGAGGTTACATGAACAACCCAATTCAAGACTGCCAATAAGTTGCACACCAAGTTTGTATGTCAGTAAAGTTAACCACAGTAAAAAAAACAATAATAATGAAAGTAATCAATTATACCAATGTCTTATAATAAAAGATATTTACAACCTTTGAGTTGGTTACCTCTGGAATCTTTCATTTAATTATTGAGATCTCTAATTGACCTGAACTATGGAAAGAGAAACTACAGATAGCAGTGTTACTCATGTGTTTATGCATCCATATTATATTTATAATTTTCACAGTTTGAAAATTGTCTGACTACTTTTTATGAGCTCTCTTATTGATAACACATAGTAATTATGGGTGAGCTGAAAAATTAAATATGTATCTTCGTTAAGGTTCAAAGGCCAATCTCAGCTTTTATTTTCAGCAAGGACATAAAAAGCAATTAAGATATTTATCAAAGTTTGGTGTAGTTTGTACTACTACCAGGGTTGTTGGTTCAACTTTTCAGATATGCCCTGATTTTTATCTCAAGAAGTAGGAGGAAGTGGTTCCCCCAAGACTATTCTTATTTAAAATTGTCTAAGTCCTATTTAAATCAAACCACTTTATGGGGCAATATCACTGATTAAGAGTCCCACTTAACAAATAACTGTTTTGGTGACAGGAAGACATCTCAAATGACAAATAATATGGCTGTTGACCTTCTTGCTGGGGATAAAGGTCTATAACATGTAATCAGTACAGTCATTAGATGTATAAAGATGTCAATACAAGTTTTTAAAAACAAATCAACAGGACTTACCATGTTTTAAAATACATTACTCACCAAAAATAGGTTTCTGAAGTTGTTGAGATCACCAAAAAAGTCTTCTATAGTTACTGTGTTCGGATCAAAAATGAAGTATTCACCCAGGTTCTCATAAAGCTTCACCATATTGCTGTGCATGATGGACAATTTTTCATATTGCTCTCTGGCATTCTTTGTAAAGCTGTAACTTTGCATTAAGGAATGTGATCCTTATAATATTTCAGAGGCAGCCACTAGACGTCAAGACTTAATAAAACTATTGCTACTGTAAATACACACACACACACACACACACACACACACACACACACATTTGTTTGCTAGAACTGCCATGATAAAGTACTACATATTGGGTGCTTTCAACAACACAATTTTTTTTCATATATCCAGAGGCTAGAACTCTGAGTGAAAGGTATTGGCATACTTAGTTTCTTACGCGGCCTCTCTCGTGGTGTCTTGCAGATTGCTGCCTTCTTGTGTAATTCCTTACTTGTTTGGTTGTGTGTGTTCAAATCCCCATTTCCTAAAAGGCCATCTTTCATGTAGTATTAACACATAACTTAACAATTTTTATCTTAATTACCTCTTTCTTCAAATATAGTTCATTCTGAGGAACTTCCAATTCTGAGGAACTTGGATGAAGTATGGTGGGTGTAAGGCACATCACACAAGTAAGTACAAGGGTTATCGCAGTTATATAGCTTACCAGGTTTGAAAATCTTTTAACTGGACAGAAACATTTCATGTATAACATGTAGGACAGCTTGTTAGAACATGTTTGCTAAATTAAACCACATAGATGCATATCTATCAGAAAACTACCTCCATTTTTGTATGTATGAATTTTTTATATTTGTGTATATAAATATATGTATATCCATGTAGAAATACATATAAAATATACATAGCCCATATGACGATGGAAGGAACAGAAAAAAGAAAGGTCCCTCTTACCATTCTTTTACCTTCTTCCTCTAAAGCACCTGAAAAAGAATTCTTTTAATTACCTGTTGAATAAGCTCTATGACCTTAAGTCCAGAGATGCCAACTCTATACCTATAGGAAAAGGATGCCATTGCCTCTAAAGAACATCATAGGGAAGTACAATAGTGTGTTTTGTTAAATTGTTCCCATTTTTTTCTCACACTTGGCTCTCCATGACTATGTGTTCTTCATCAAAACTTTTGCTTAAAATATACACTCATCTCTCATTGGCATTTTCAATTCTGTCATCTCTCATGTCACAGAAAATGTAAATTGCCATGTGCAGTAGACACTGCTCATTTGTTTCCTGGCTGCCCAGGCCGCAAATAATCACATAGAAACTATATTAATTAAACACGTTTTGGCCAATGGCTTAGACTTCTTATTAGCTAACTCTTGCATCTTAAATCAACCCATTTCTATTAATCTGTGAATCACCACGGGGTTATGGTGTACTGGTAAGATTCTGACTGGCAGCTCACATATTTCTCTTTTGGCAGCTACATGGTATCTCCCTGACTCCACCTACTTTCTTTCTATATATCTGTTATGATTGCACTCTGGCTTTACTCTACTGAGCCATTGGCCAAAAAAGCTTCTTTAATAACCAATGATAATAAAACATATTTATAGCATGCAGAGGAGAATCCCACATCAATGTGGTGGCTCATTTTTGTAATCATGCATTTAAGTTTAGCCTGTGCTACACAGCAAGACCTTGTCTAAAATTAAAACTATATGTAATATTCTACCTATCTATGTACCTATCTATCTATGTATCTTTGTATGTATCTATATATCTCTATTAATGTTCTAAAACTATTGAAAATAAATTGTAAAATGAACCTTTTATGACTAATAAATACAAAACCATGATTATGCTGACTAAAATTTCTAGTTCTGCACTAAGTATGATGAATATTTTTGAGACTTACACCTGGTTTTTCTTCTTTGGCTAGGTAATTGTTGAATGCTAATTCATAAGAGTGTAGAGAACAGTAAGGGAATAATTGTGAAGAAAAGAGGAAGCCAAATCAACATTTAAAATTGGAGTTAAGTTCATTAAAAATGACGGGTGATCATAGAAGTAAAGTTGTAACATGGGTCCAAATGTACATTCAGTGGGCATACCACTTTGGTTTTTCTAATGGAAGCAATGCAGAAATCAGGCCATTTCTGTAAAATTATTCTACCGCTGACACTTACAGTATATACCATGATTTTGAAAATGAGATATCACTTATCTACGGTCTTTTTAATACTGCTTAACTATTAGCACTGACTCTCTGCAAAAAAGTATAATTAAATCATTCAGCCCTCAAGTCTATTGTGACATTAATAGACCTGAAAGAATGAATACTTTTATAACTGCCTTTTTTCATAATATGCACATGCTTCATATACATTTTGATTTTATTATTGAAAAGTACCTCCATATAATTTTTACTTTTAACACTATGTTTGGATATTAAACATCCTGTTTCAGTGGAGCAGAAATGAAACAGTAGTCTTTATTTCTAAGAACAGAATTTAAGTGACTGTTTTATTTCCTTACCGCCCCCCCCCCTCCTACACACACACAAAGAAAAAAAGAAAAAGGAAAAGAAAAATAAAGATTCATACCAGAAACATACTGGGCAGAAACACATTGCAAAGGTCACTTAAGTGCAATCATTTGCAATGCAGATTATGAAAATGTATATTTCAGGATGTCCAACCTCTGTAAACCAGTGAAAAAGTCAAAGCTAACAAGAAAGGCAAATTCGGCTGAGGAGCTCCATCTGAACGGGTGAGTGTGTGCTATCCAGGGGCGGATTGTCTCTGAAGAGAGCACAAACCCCCCTCCCCTAGCTCCTTCTGCAGGGCTGTCCTTCTTACACACCACCCGCCCCCCAAGCTTGCTTGATCTGCAAGGTCCTTTGTTTAGGAACAGGTTTCTGCTCCTACACAAAGGCTACCCACCCAGAGTGGTGAGTGCTTGCCTACTACTGGGCAGGCCTCAAGAACCCCCAAAGGGAGTGCAGGCACCTTCAGCTTGCGGGGCAGGGTCTCCTGTGTTCTACTCGACCCTGCCCTGTCCCACAAGTTTGCCCTTTGTCCGCGGATCATTGGATTACCAGGCATACATATTTCGGTGCTGAAGAGATTCATCTGGACAAGAACGGTTCCTGCTTCTTCACTGAGGAGATACACCCAGAGACTCAGTCACAGCAAAGTCTGGATTAAGACACCAGGCCTCCCCTGGCTCCATTTGAAGGAAGAGATGGGAAGGCTCCAATGCAAGAATTCCTCCAACAACCTGAAAGGCTACATGACATCACCAGAATACAGGGATCCAGAAATAAGAAGAATTGTACACCCTACTCTAGAAGAATTAGAAGAAATCAAATCAAAAGTGAATTATAGGAAACTCAAGAACAATCGCAGTGGGTTTTTGATCCTACTGCACGTACTGGCTTTGGGGGAGCCTAGGCAGTTTGGATGCTCACCTTATGAGACCTGGACAGAGGTGGGCGGTCCTTGGGCTTCCCACAGGTCAGGAAACCCTGATTGCTCTTCGAGCAGATGAGGGAGGGGGACTTGATCGGGGGAGGGGGAGGGAAATGGGAAGCGGTTGTGGGGACGAGGCAGAAATCCTTAATAAATAAATAAATTCACATGACTAGTGAAAAAAAAAGAAAATAATAGAGGACCTTAAACAGGAGGTGAAAAACTGCCATAAACAATTAGAGATTACAAACAAAAAGGTAGAGGAAATGAATAAATCGCTCAAAGATACCCAAGAAAACCAAGAGAAACAAGAAAAAGCAATCAAACAGGTAAGGGAAGCGGTTCAAGACTTGAAAAATGAAATGTAAGTAATGAAGAAAACACAAACCGAGGGAAGGATGGAGATGGAAAGTCTGGGTAAACGAACAGGAACTACAGAGACAAGTACTACCAACAGATTACAAGAGATAGAAGAAAGAATGTCAGACACTGAAGATACCATAGAGAAAATACACACACTGATCAAAGAAAACAGCAAAACCAACAAATTCTCATCACAAAACATTCAGGAAATTTGGGACACAATAAAAAGACCAAACCTAAGAATTATAGGGGTAGAAGAAGGAGAAGAAGTACAGCTCAACGGTCCATAAAATAAATTTAATAAAACTATAGAAGAAAACTTTCCCAACCTAAAGAAAGATATACCTTTGAAGGTTCAAGGAGCATACAGAACACTGCATGGATTGGACCAAAAAAAAAAAAAATCTCTTCACCATATAATAATCAAACCACAAAACATACAGAATAAAGAAAGAATATTAAGAGCTGCAAAGGAAAAAGGCTAAGTTACTTATAAAGGTAAACCTATCAGGTTTACACCTGACTTCTCTATGGAAACCATGAAAGCCAGAAGGTCCTGGATAGAGGTACTGCAGAAACTAAGAGACCATGGATGCAAGCCCAGACTACTATACCCAGCCAAGCTTTCGTTCACTATAAATGGAGAAAACAAAATTTTCCAGGATAAAAACAAATTTAAACAATGCGTAGCCACAAAGCCAGCCTTACAGAAAGTAATAGAAGGAAAATCACAACCCAAGGAGTCCAACAATGCCCAGAATAACTCAGACATCTAATGACCCTTCACCAGCACAACTTGAAGAAGAGAAACACACAAACTCTACTACCAAAAAAAAAAAAGAAAGAAAAAAAGAAAAAGAAAAAACGACCAGAGTTAACAACCACTGGTCATTAATATCACTTAATATCAATGGACTCAACTCACCTATAAAGAGGCACAGGCTAAGAGATTGGATATGAAAACAGGATCCAACATTCTGCTGTTTACAAGAAACACACCTCAACCACAAAGACAGACATCTACTCAGAGTAAAGGGCTGGGAAAAGGTTTATCAATCAAATGGACCTAAGAAACAAGCAGGTGTGGCCATACTAATTTCTAACAAAGTTGACTTCAAACTAAAATCAATCAGAAGAGATGGAGAGGGACATTTTTTACTCATAACAGGAACAATTCATCAAGACGAAGTCTCAATCCTGAATATCTATGCCCCTAATATAAAAGCAACTACTTATGTAAAAGAAATGTTGCTAAAACTCAAGGCAGTCATCAAACCACACACACACTAATAGTAGGAGACTTCAACACTCCTCTCTCACCAATGGACAGGTCAATCAGACAGAAA